AATTCATCGCTAGCCTGCGATATTTACTAAATTTGAATCCTATTTGCTACTCAGCGGTCATTGATGATCAAATTCAAAAATGGATTATCGAGACTATGAATTTTATCGTAACGATTTTAGTAATGATGATCGAGGCTAGGCCTAAAGTTCAGTCACTAATATCTCGGCTCAGAGTGGAGCAATTTGACCGAAAATTTCAGAACATTCTCTTTACATTATCTAGTTTGTAACTGTTATAGTGAGAACCGCTAGCTCTTTATCTAATCTTCCATAGTGCCCCTTTAAAATTACATTTGGTCGTGAACATTGCACGATTTACAAATGGATGAATGGATGAGATATGGCAATTCATGTCCAGTGCGGAATCGACATTTACACCCAGATTTCGGACAGACGATGGCAGACTGATATTGGCATCTCCAATTTTCACAAAAGTATGTGTTAACTTAAAATTTGTATTACATTTGGGTTTATAAAGCCGTATCACTTCCGTTTTATCATGGTTCAATTTTAAAAGATTTAGTTTCATCCTGGATCTTACATCCACAATACAGGCCTCTAGTTTATTTGTTTTCGGTCTCGTTCATCTCATTCAGCGCGATATACAGTTGTGTATCGTCGGCGTAAAGCTGGTGTATGCCTTCAATCCCTAAACGAAGTTTTAATCAGAATAACAATTTCGAAGTGTTTATGATGTCGAAAGTGGCACTGAGGTCAAGCGTAACCAGGAAAACACAGTCCCTGTTGTCCGTCCGACAGATGGTGTCATTATGGACTCGTACTTTGCTAGATCTTGCGGGGATGGCCGAATGGTTAGCACGCGCGCGCTGTATCATACGATCTGTCATTGAGTCAACTGGCGGGGTTTCGATTCCCCGGTTGTACGTGACAAGGAGTAGGGTCGCCTGTCCAACCTCGTGGGTTTTCTCAGGGTCATCCGGTTTCCTCCCACTGCTAAAGACACCTACGCGCAAGCGAATTACCGAAATAAAAAAATTAAACCATATGTTAGTCCCGAAATTACCTAGTTTGTGTCGAGTGGATGTTAAACCCCATTTCTGTCTGTCTGTCTGTCTGTCTGTCTCTCTCTCTCTCTCTCTTTGCTAGATTTAAAACGTCACTATTTGATTTGGAAATACAATCAATTATTTTAACGATTTGTTTGTGATTTCCCTTGTTCAGATCGATTTTATCTTTAAAAACTATAGTTTAGCCTGTTTTATCGGTTTATTTGTTTCAGTTATATGATGGGTATATATCTCCCTGTGTATTTCCGAGTTGGTTTTCCTACATTGTTTTCCAGCAGATTGTTGTGTCTGGTTTGAAATTAATATCTCAGTGGTAAGCAACTTCTTATTTGGTCGAATAGTCAGTTTCTGATTTAAAAGGCGCATGTTCGTTGCAAATAAAATAAAACCAAGTACGAACAATCCAAACCATTAGACAAAATTCGAAGTCCTGAAAAAACGGTATAGGCAAAATAGTGTAATTAGCAAATGGACTGTTCACCGTGTACAAAATACACGACAAGCAGTGGTAACAGGTGTCCGGAGGAAATGCTTGTTTGAGTATTATGTGAATTTAAAATCTGGGGTTGTAAATATAGTGACGGAATGTCTTGATTTAACCCATTTACGTCAATGTCTTTAGTTTCCCAGAAAATAATGGTTTCTTTAACAGCCTCGGGATTTACCAATGATAAGGTTGCGAAAATACTATAATGACCCGAGATTGGATGATCAAGGACTTCCTGGCTGCAGAGAAAGATCATCATTAAGTCTGGTGATAAGTATATCAAGGTTGTGTCTCTTGTGGTGTGTCGGTACCTTAATGTGCTGTTAAAGATTACATGAATTCAGAAGATCGCAGAACTGGTTGGATTTTAAGTCCTTGGATTTGTTTAAATGGACGTTTAAATCATCAACAATGAACAGTCGTCCTTTGGACGTCTGCAGGTGATGCAGAAATTCTCAGGTCTCAGTTAAGAAAGTGTCAGTGGTTATTGTGTTTTTGGGAGATGGCAGAGGACAGTATATATTGATCAGATGAATCACATGGCTATGACATTTTACACGTGTCTCAAGTACTTCCAAACTCGTGAAGTTGACACATTGACGGCTTTTACGTCGATGGACCTCTTGGGACAAATGGCAATTCCACCATGAAATGGAATAAAATTGGTTTTAACGTCCTATTGTTCTGCTCCGACGGACGGGGCTAATGAAGGCGGGCATACGCCATACAGTGTGCTATGAGGGAAATTTTGCCCGGGCAGCGACGCTACGGCCTACTCTTTTATCGAATTCCAACTGCCAATGGATCTTTTACGTGCACGTGACTAGACAGCTGCCCTTGTTATGCCATCCATCCTGCACCACTGACAAGGGAAAACTACGCCAGAAAATCTCGATGAGCTTTCTCGGCCAACACTGGGAGCGAACCCGCGACGTCCTGGCTAACGAGCCAGCATCTTTTTTTTATTCAGGTGCTAATACAACATAAATATAGACAGTACATCCGATTACATGTTAAAAACATTCACTCATTCAAATATATCAAATATACAGATGCACGCTAACAATCACACTCCAGACACACACATTTAAAATATATAAAAAGTATAGTACCATTAACAGCATCAAGATATTTACAATATAAACACAGTGGGCTTTATTTATCTACAGCTTTCAATCTCGAAACTTGGCGAAAGTGCGAAACCATTTCGAGTTTAAAAGTTTCAATATTTTAAAATACTTATTATATATCGATACATATAGATCCATTACTTTCATAAGAAATAAATAATGACGGCAAAATAAACTTTTTAATAAAATTAATATTATTTTTCTTATGGTAGTACTCTCTTACATTATTAAAGGAGCTCTTTAATACATTTTTAATTTTTTTTACATCAATTTCTATAGTAGTAGTACTGTCGAGGGATTTCATTCTCCTTTTATACACAGAGATTCCGGTACAGCTTAGTATTAAAGGACAATATTGGTGCCAGTCATTATCACATATGTGATAGAGCTGGTTAAACACATACCAAATTTAATTTTAACACAGAGATCATTGCTACGGTAGCTGAGTAATACAGGTTTCCTGAATCGGAAGTGACGAACGCCAAAGGAAAACACGAGTCATGCCTCTATATAACTGACTGATGTGACGAGTGATAACAGATACACGGGCGAATTTCTGCTCACTAATAATTCCTTCGAAGACCAAAAGTTGTTATATGAGACTGTGAGAGGATATCTGACAATTCATAAAAAGAATTGACTGCCACTAGATAAGAGAACACGAAAGAAAAACAGGAAAAGTCCGTGCATTACCATGTTTTTATAAGGTATAGAATGAATATAAACAAGGGAATGTACGGACTATTTCTATTTTTCTCGTGTTCTCTTATCTAATGACATTCAATTACTTTATTGAATTGTCAGTTATCCTCTTACAGCCTCATATAACAACTTTTGGTCTTCGAAGGAATTATTAGTGAGCAGAAATTCGCCCGTGTATCTGTTATCACTCGTCACATCAGTCAGTTATATAGAGGCATGACTCGTGTTTTCCTTTGGCGTTCGTCACTTCCGATTCAGGAAACCTGTATTACTCAGCTACCGTAGCAATGATCTCTGTGTTAAAATTATATTTGGAATGTGTTTAACCAGCTCTATCACATGTGTGATGATGACTGGCACCAATATTGTCCTTTAAAAAACATATGTATTAAATCTTTAGTTTCTTCTTTACATACTGGGCAAATGTCATCTACTGTTTTATTTATCTTGAATAATTTTAATTTTGTCCAAATAATGTTGTGTACAACTTTATAATCTAATGCTTTCATTTGCGAGCCAGCATCTTACTCACTTAGCCACCGTGGTTCCCAGATTAATAAGAAAAACAGATCCCACCCACAAATAAAACTTCATGGTTCAGTAATGCTTCAAGAGTTATATGTAATTTTAGATGCAAATAACTTCAGAATTATGTATTTTTCTTTCAAAAGAAACTTCTTTACAGATTCACAATACATAGCACTGTGTCCAAAAATGATTGTTCCCAAAATACATAATACACAGAGCCACAGAGGAGCAACCACACATGTTCAACTTATAATTAAAGAAGTGGCTCTGGAGGGCAATAGTTATAGAGGCATTATGTACGACAATGACAATTTAACACCGTTATTTGGGGTTGCAAAGGTGTTTGGGGGCGCAAGTTTTGTGTTTTTCAGGCTTAGCTGATTTTACAGTGTTTTACATTTAAAGATTCTTTTTAAACATACATTATGCAAGAGTTATGAAATGAAATGAAATGAAATGAAATGGGGTTTAACGTCCTACTGTTCTGCTCCTATACTGGGCTAATGAAGACGGGCATACGCCATACAGTGTGCTATGAGGGAAATTTTGCCCGGACAGTCGCACTATCGCCTACTCTTAATGCAAGAGTTAAATCTTCTGTCTATTGTAGGTCTTTCTTTAGGTCTGAATTTGTTATCTAAATTATTAATTAGACATTTATAAACAAAACAAGACCATAATTAACTCTCGATGGCATCGGATACTCGAGATTTTAACTAGATTAGAGTGGTTCACAATTTAAAAATTTAATTTAAAGCGAGGCTAAGTCTCGAATATACCAGTGCAGTGGTTACCACTATGCACACATCTTGTCAAAACTAAAAACAGTGATAACTTGGCTCAGAATGAAGTAATTTGAATGAAATTTTCAATATATTCGTTTTACATTATTTATTTTTGAGCTATTATAGAATGAACCGCCAACTCCTTTTCTGAATCTTACATAATATATCTTTAAATATTTAAAAAAAAACCCACCTTTGCCCCCCCCCCCCCCAACAAAAAAAATAAATAAAATAAAGCAAACGAAACAACACTGCTTCTCAACGGATGTGGTTTTGCTGTTTTCCGAGTAGGGTGTATATTGTATATTGTCGTAGAAGATGTTATAATTTTAAAACTCACCTTTCTAAACTAATGGCGGTCAAGGTAAAAACTGAACAAATGGCCGACACATTCTGTAAATACACCACAGCTTTACACAGAAACTCGCCAAACGTCCACGTAAAGGAGAAGAAAGCGGCAAACTGAAAAATAAATAAACGAGTTCATTAATGAATAATTATTTCTTGCCGTATATCTATCGGAAGTTTTACCAATGATTCTTTTACGTGCACGCCGACGTGAACAAGGGGCCTTAGTCACTGTTCCTATCAGGCCCTCGACATCGCACCACAGACAAGAGGAAACCGCGTTGGAAAATCCCTGAGAACTGTCTTGGCCAACACCTCCTGGTAAATGAGAGGGAGAGAGAGAAAGAGAGAGAGAGAGAGAGGGGGTTAACGTCCACTCGACACAAACTAGGTCATTTCGAGACTAACAAATGGTTTAATTTTATTTCAATAATTCGCTTGCGCGTAGGGGTCTTTAGAAGTGGGAGGAAACCGGAGGACCCGGAGAAAACCCACGAGGTCGGACAGGCGGCCCTACTCCTTGTCACGTACAACCGGGGATTCGAAACCACGCCAGTCGACTCAATGACAGACTTTATGATACAGCGCGCGCACGCTACCCATTCAGCCATCACCTTAATCACTGAGTCGGGGCGGTTAAAGCGTGCGTGTTGCATCATAAGGTCTGTCATTGAGTCAAGTGGTGTGATTGTTCGTGACAATGACTAGGTCGCCTGTCCAATTTCGCGGGTTTTCTCCGGGTCCTCCGGTTTAATTCCATTGCTAAAGCCCCCTACTCGCAAGCGAATTATTGATATAAAAATTGAACCATATGTTAGTCCCGAAATTACCTAGTTTGTGTCGAGTCGACGTTGCCCCTCATCGTGAGACAGGAGGAACATTTCTATCATTGCACACTTCATTAGTCCAGTTAGTGCAAAAAAGTAAGATGTTGAACCCAGTTTCAGTTCATTTCAATTTATGCTGTCATGTTGGCCTTTCAAACTAGATTATTCGCAGCGAGACGCAATAATTTCTAACATATATGAAGTGTTTATATCACTTAGGTCGGTGCCTGGAGGCGAAACATTGTCTGGCACTTTTATTAGATTTTGAACGTGCAATAGGCCGACTACCGGGACATACGCATTTCCCAATAAATTGGATGTGCGTAATAATAAAATAAACGTTGTGTTGCTAATGCAGTGGAATAAAAGGTCGAACAAAATTGACCCTACCTAGTCAATCGGCCGATTCATAACATTAAGCGGGGAAATAACGTTATTGGCGATAAGAAAAGTTTAAAGTTAACAATTCCATATTTTTAAGTTATATTTTTAAAATTTATTAAAATAAAGCCTTAAAATAGATGGTATCTATAAACAGTCCTGCCTTGTTAAAGAATAATCCTATTAATCCTATAATTCACTATTGCCAGTTGAGAAATTGGCAAAAATATCATTTTCAACTTCAAATTCAAACGTTTGAAGATAGCTATTCCATGAGGGGGGGGGGGACAAGAGAGGTAATTGTGTTATTATTTCCCGTGTCAATGATTTTTAAGTGTGGGAAATAATGCCTATGATCGTATAATTGTGAGTTGTTAACCTATTGAGCAAAAGACATATAAATAATTATGTTTTGACTTTCTTAGAAAATATGAAATTCTCGCTTTAACGTCCTTCTGTTCTCCACCGACTTAATGGAAAAGATGTCGTGTTAAACTTCACCACAGCTTCTTGTGAAATAAAATGAAATGGGTCTAGCGTCCGACTTTTCTGCACCGATTTAGCCGATTAAGACGGTCATCCGGCATGCAGTGTGCTATGTTATCATATAGAATTCCAACAGTCAAGGGTTCTTTTACGTGCACGCCAATGTGTACACGGGATCTCGGGTTTTCGTCCCATCCGAACGGTTATGCTTTGCTCCTTGACAGGCCCTCAGTTCTACATCACCGACAAATGGGGATCACGCCCGAAAATCCAGATAAACTTTCTCTGCCAACGCAGGGATGGAACATGGGACATTCAGGTTAGCGAGACAACGTCTTACTCACTGAGCCACCGTGGCTTCCTCAGCTTTTTATGACGTATACTGGGACTATATTATTTGGCTCGTTAGTTTACCAGAAATTTATTTCGTTCTTTTAAGTATAATGCTTAAGATCATTCGTAAAAAACGACGAATCCCGAGTGCTAACAAAGGTAATCGTTTGGTCAAGACAAATTATCCAGGTCATGGTGGTCAAACTAATAATAAGACTCCTTCGTAGTTTTAGTTCAAGGAAGAGGAGCCCAATTTTTCACCCTAGTACAAGCTACCAAATAAACACAAAAACTCAACAAACATTAATTTATGGTCCAAGAACACAGCTGCCCGGCAACCCCTACAATTACAATACGTTAGTCTAAAATCAATCCGTTTAAAATACAGATCTATATTTCGTTTCGCTTTTTTATACTTTCGATGGCCTCTACTAAATAAAGATCCGAACAGTTGTACTGGAAGGTTGCGTCAGAGTTCATACGAGCGGCTTTTGACCTATGACGTCAGACATTTGATTAACCAATCAGCATTCGTGTTTCTAGTGGATTACCCACAGTTCCGTGCATCTTACGCCAAAAGCTCGTCGTAACGGGCCGTTTCATTGGCTAATCCCTCACATCATGCAGAACACGTCAAGGATAACAACTCTTCCAAATCCTAGTGTAGTAAAGACAAGTAAAACGAAATTCTGAATTATAAAATACGAAACGAAATAGGATCTGTGTTTTAATCAGATTGGTCTCAAATGACTGAAGTATTGTATTGATGAAACTCTAAACCCCTCTCCGCAACACCTAGCTTCAAACCTAACAAAAACAACAAAAACAAATATGATTCTCACAATTACGTTAAAGATGCATAATGTAATATTTAGATAAAAAGTTGGTCGGTCTTGCTATAATAGTACCAAAATAGATGATGATAAATAAATATATTGAAATTTTTTTTAGTCAAATTACTTTATTCTGAGTGAAGTTATGACTGTTTGAAAACGTAGCGTAATTGGTTGATTATCGTTGCAACGGTACTTGACAACCGAGAATAAGTCTCGATTATCCAGTTTATCGTTAAATTTTTAAATTTAGTGGGTGTTCAAATCCGTTTAAATCTCGGTGATCCGATGGTCTAGGGAGTCGAATTTAATCTTGTCATGTAAACTTAATGTCTAAATAACAAATTATATTCAATATGAAGCCAAAAACGACCTACAATGGGCAGATTTTTGAGCTCTTGCACAATATATCTTTAATATTGGTTTGATTTCAAGTAAACCGTATAATAACGTCACAAAAGACGTTTATAATTAGAAAAGTTGAAAAAAATAAATGAAAAATTTAGATCTTGATCTGACGAAGCCGTTGAAGAATGATTAGACGTGGAAAATTTGATATGAGAGCTGGAAGACAGGTCGTTTGTAATTTAAATATTCATTGTTGAACCAGCTTTTGTCGTAATGACTACGCTCAGTGGGGACACGTTGACCATTTGTTTATGTAAAACGAGTTTCCTGTGACTTCTCAGTCAGACCAAAAAAATACAATTTGACATTCTTTTTTTAAAACTCATTCCCACAGCTAAAGGCGCCTACGCGCAAGCGAATTATTGAACTTAAATTGAACCATATGTTAGTCCCAACATGAGCTAGTTTGTGTCGAGTGGACGTTACCCCCCCCCCCCATCCTGTCTCTCTCATTAGCCCAGTCGAAGCAAAACAGTAGGATGTTAAACCCCATTTCATTTATTACTCGTCACACATCCATATTGTACAACATGAACCAGGCCAACCCTTACCCTAACCCTAACTACAATCCACATATGACGCCATATGTGCTAGACCGTCTCCGATCTAGCGTTCTCCCACAGAAGTCCATCACGTACATAACCATGATTAGGTGGAGGAGTTTGAAATCATGCATGTATGTAAAAATTTAACATCATTTGCTAGCCGCCTCTTTAAATCTGTTTCTCTTAGAACGGAAATAATTGATGAAGCACGCTTCATTTACCTGGAAAAGAAAATTGCTTTTGATTGTACATCGTTTCTATTTTAAGTTCGGATTATCAAACTAGATACAACCGGAAGAGGGCGTCTAGTTTCGCACAAAACTGTTTTGTGATTTTTTGTTTTTTTGCACAGAATTATTGAATTGGTTATTCATATTAATAATGAAATTAACTAGTAAATTATTCTATCTTTGGTGAGTTATTAAGTTGATTAAATTTGTGATTACCATGGTACGTCATGTGTGAAAATACCTCCCTAGTTAACGCACAGTTGCTATGGAGAACAGATTACTTATACCGGATGTGCAGTCATTAGGGGATTAGGTCCGCCACAGTAACTGAGATCATTTTCTAAGATTAATCACATAATGAATCTGGGATGCGCAATTATTAAAGACCGATCCTCTGTTTCTACACGAAGATTAATTTGGTTTATGATTGGGTTTGAAACAGAGTGCTACAGATAACGGCATCGAACGTCGTACGCGAATCGACGAAATGAAATGAAAGGAAATCTTGCTTAACTTCCTACTGTTCCGCTCCGACTGGCGAATCGACGAGCAACATCCCTCGGGGATAGCTGGCTCGCTGGGTGTTTGATCCCTGCATTGGCCGAGAACGTTCATCGGGATTTTCCGACGTGGTTTCCCCTTGTCAGTGGTGCAGGATGGATGGCCTTACAAGGGCGGTTGTCTAGTTGTTCGGATGGGACGAAAAACCGAGGTCACTTGTGTACATTGGCATACACGTAAAAGATCCCTTGGCAGTTGGGCAAAATGTCCCCCATAGCACACTGTATGGCACATGTCCGTCTTCATTAGCCCAGTCGGAGCAGTGGGACTTTTATGAAATCTGGAGCCACGGTTTCTAAGTGAGTAAGACGCTGGCTCGCTAACCTGGATCCCGGTGTCGGTTGACAAAGTTCATCGAGATTGTCAATAGTGCAGGGCGAACAACTTTGACAAGGGACATCGAATAGTCGTTCGGATGGAACGAAAACCCCAGGTCCCGTGTAAACATTCACATGCACGTAAAAAAAAACCCTGACAGTTGGAATTCGAAATAAGAATAGATCACAGAGC